TGGCGGGCTGGCCGGTTTGTTTACCTGCCGTGTCCGCAGGTTCGGCCGATTGCAGCTCCCAGTGGCCGCGGTTCGCCGCTCCAGGCCAATTGGGGCGTCGGGAAGCGGCGTCCAGTAAGTCCCTCAGCCCGCGCACTTCCTGCAGCTCCCATTGTCCTGGAGCGGTGAACCGCAGCCACTGGGAGCTGTGATCGGCCGAACCTGCGGACTGGCAGGTAAACAAACCAGCCTGGCCCGTCAGGGGCTTTCCCTGAACAAGCAGTGGCCCTAGTTTGAGAACCACTGGTCTAAGTGACTTGCCCAAGATCACATAGGAAGTCTGTGGCAAAGCAGGGAACTGCACCCAGATCTCCCAATTCCTAGGCTAGTGCCCTACCCACTGTGAAATGCTTCCTCTCTCACACTGGCTGTCTCTTTCTGCCATGTCTAATTGTTCTTCTTCCCCTAATAGGTAAACAACAATGGAATCATCTCTTTCTTGAAGGAGGTTTCCCAGTTTACACCGGTCGCTTTCCCAATCTCCAAAGACCGGCGTGTGGTAGCAGCTTTCTGGGCTGATGTGGATAACCGACGGGCAGGTGAAGTGTATTACCGGGAAAGTAAGGACCAGACCATCTTGGAGAGAGCCACCAAAGACATCGGACAGTATTTCCCTGAATTCCTGGAGTTCTCTGCCGTATGGGTTTTTGTGGCCACCTGGCACCGGGTGACCTTCTTTGGAGGAAGTTCCTTTTCTCCAGTGAGTTGTTGGCATTCAATGCTGGGTGGAGGATGGGATGGGAAAGGGTCAAGGTATGGAGTCCTAGATTATGCTCTCTGAGTTGCCCAAAGTAATTAAATTTGTCCTAGCTAAGACCTCTCAGAGTCTAGAACTCAAAGGCAGACCCCTCTCACCTGCACAGCTGCACTTAGGAACTAAGGAACTGCGGATATTAATGAGGGAGTTTATATTAGAAATTTCATCAGAAAAATGTGAGTGATAATTTGGAATAATTTAAGAACACCTTATTACATGCCTAAAAACTCACAATCCCACAATTGAGGAAGATGACCTCTTGGTTAAAAAATTGACCTGATTTAGAGCAGAAGTGAAGACAGCAATAAAATATATATATATATACATACATAAAATGGAAGAAGAGGGAAGTTAATAGTAACAAATATAAATCAGAAGTTAGGAATTGTAGAAAATTGATAAGGGAACCAAAGGGACATAAGTAGAAATGTATGGCCAGCAGAGTTAAGGACAATAAGAAGCAATTTTTAAAATATATTAGGAACAAAAAGAATCCTGACAAAGGTATTGGTCCATTACTAGATGGAAATGGTAGAATTATTGATAATAATGCAGAAAAGGCAGAAGTGATCCAAAAATATTTCTCTTCTGTATGTGGGGAAAAAACAGATGATATAGTCTCATCATATGGTGATCTCTTTCTATTCCTCTAGTATCTCTGGAGGATATTAAACAGAAACTACTAAAGTTAGACATTTTTAAACTAGCAGATCCAGATAAGTTGCATCCAAGAATTTTAAAAGAACTGGCTGAGGAGCTCGCTGGCCCATTAATGCTGATTTTCAATAAGTCTTGGAGTACTAGGGAAGTTCTGGAAGAAAACTAACGATATGTCCAATTTTTAAAAAGGATAAACAGGGTGACCAGGGTAATTATAGGTCTGTCAGCCAGACATCGATCCCGGGCAAAATAATGGAGCAGCTGATACGGGACTCGATTAATAAGGAATTAAAGGAGCGTAATTAATGCAAATCAACATAGATGTATGGAAAACAGAGCCAGTTGAACTAGCTTGATATCTTTTTTTGATGAGATTACAAGTTTGATTGATAAAGGTAAAAATGTTGACATAATATGCTTAGACTTCTTTGAGACAGACAAGGCGAGTGAGTTCATATGTTTTATTGGACTAGCTTCTGTTAGTGAAAGAGACAAGCTTTCGAGCTCACACAGAGCTGCTCTTCAGGTCTGGGAAAGGTACTCAGAGTATCACAGGTCACAGCTAAATACAAGGTGGAACAGATTGCTTAGCATAAGGATTTAACACATATTTCAACAGACCATTCAAGGTGCAGTGGCCTGTTAATGCTCCACCATTCAGAGAGGGGGAAGAAAAGGGGGAAGGCAGGTGGGAGGAGTTGTTAATGGGTTACAAGATTGTTGTAATGAGCCATAAATCCAGTCTACCTGTTCAGTCCATGGTTTTAAGTGTCTAGTAAAGTTATGAATTCGTATGTAGCAGGGGTAGGCAACCTATGGCACGCATGCCAAAGGTGGCACGTGAGCTGATTTTCAGTGGCATTCACACTGCACGGGTCCTGGAAACCGGTCCGGGGAGCTCTGCATTTTAATTTAATTTTAAATGAAGTTTCTTAAACATTTTAAAAACTTTATTTACTTTACATACAACAATAGTTTTGTTATATATTATAGACTTATAGAAAGAGACTTTCTAAAAACGTTAAAATGTATTACCGGCATGCGAAACCTTAAATTAGAGGGAATAAATGAAGACTCGGCACACCACTTCTGAAAGGTTGCCGACCCCTGGTATGTAGCCTACTAACAGCCCCCCCCCAAGCTGCCTCACTTCCTTTTCCCCTACACCTGGAGGGGAGTTAACGGGCCATTTCACCTTGAATGGTGTCCCTTGAAATATGTTAACTATGTGGGGATAAGATGCTTGGGGAGGCTAAGCCTCCCCAGACGGGGCAAGAAATGCCAGATGCAGCACACCTCCCTTTGGAGGCACGCCACCAGGGCCGGCCTTAGCAAGAGCGGGGCCCGCCCCCAGGAATCGGGCCCCGCTCGG